AGGGTGACTATGGGGGCAACAGGGTGACAGTGGGGAGTGACAACAGGCAGACTGTGGGGACAGCAGGGTGGCAATGGGGGGGTGACAACAGGCAGACCGCGGGGACAACAGGGTGACGCCGGTGACGCCGGTGACCACGCTGGCAGCTCACCATAGACGTCCAGCAGCTGTGATGCGGAGATGGTGTGGAACAGGCTGCCGTATGGCCGCAGGTCGAGCTGTGCATGGCAGCTGATGCTCTGCCCCCGGTCCTCCCGCCGCACCGTCACCACGTGTGTCACCACCACGTCCTCCGGCTGTTCCTGGGAGCGTCCCCAGAAAGTGGCTGTGTGCAGAGGGTGGTCACCACGGAGGAGGAACACCGACAGGTTGCGGATTGGAAACACCTCGCGGACGCGGCAGGTCAGGTTGTGAGCACTGCCGGACTGCAGGGGGGGGATTGGTGACAGCTCCGGCTCTTTCAATAGGCCTGGGGGGGGGAAAAGGGGACAAAATTGACAATGAGGGGGACAAAAGGTGAGAGAAGGTGACAATGTTGATAAGGTGGTGAGAAAAGCTGAGAAGAGGTGACAAAAGTGATGAGATGAGGGGGACAAAGGGGTGGGAAAGGTGACAAGAGGTGACAAAAGGGAGAATGGTGGTGACGAAAGGTGGTGAGATGGTGAGAAGAGGTGACAGCAGGGACAAAAGGTGACAGTGGTGGTTGAAAAAGTGACCAAAGGTGACAGTGACGGTGACAGTGACGGTGACATTGGTGACTAAAAGTGACAGTGATGGTGACAAAAGTGACAAAAGCTGACAGTGATGGAGACATTGGTGACCAAAGGTGACAGTGATGGAAACAGCGATGCTGACAGTGACGGAGACAGTGATGGTGACAGTGATGGTGACAATGACAGTGACAGTGACGGTGACGGTGACATTGATGACCAAAGGTGACAGTGATGGTGACAGAAGTAACAAAGGGTGACAGTGACAGTGACATTGGTGACCAAAGCTGACAGTGATGGAAACAGCGATGCTGACAGTGACGGAGACAGACGAGACCAAAGGTGACAGTGACAGTGACAGTGACAGTGACAGTGACGGTGACGGTGACAGTCACAATGACGGTGACATTGGTGACCAAAGATGACAGTGATGGAAACAGTGATGCTGACAGTGACGGAGACACACGAGACCAAAGGTGACAGTGACAGTGACGGTGACGGTGACAGTGACATTGGTGACCAAAGATGACAGCGATGGAAACAGCGATGCTGACAGTGACGGAGACACACGAGACCAAAGGTGACAGTGACAGTGACAGTGACAGTGACACAGTGACAGTGACGGTGACATTGGTGACCAAAGATGACAGTGATGGTAACAGCGATGCTGACAGTGATGGAGACAGATGAGACCAAAGGTGACAGTGACGGTGACAGTGACGGTGACAGTGACAGTGACAGTGACGGTGACAATGACGGTGACATTGGTGACCAAAGGTGACAGCGATGGAAACAGCGATTCTGACAGTGACGGAGACACACGAGACCAGAGGTGACGGTGACAGTGACAGTGACAGTGACAGTGACATTGATGACCAAAGGTGACAGTGACGGTGACAGAAGTGACAAAGGGTGACAGTGACGGTGACATTGGTGACCAAAGATGACAGTGATGGAAACAGCGATGCTGACAGTGACGGTGACAGTGACATTGGTGACCAAAGATGACAGCGATGGAAACAGTGATGCTGACAGTGACGGAGACAGACGAGACCAAAGGTGACAGTGACGGTGACGGTGACAGTGACGGTGACATTGATGACCAAAGATGACAGGGATGGTAACAGTGATGCTGACAGTGACGGAGACAGACGAGACCAGAGGTGACAGTGACAGTGACGGTGACAGTGACAGTGACGGTGACAGTGACGGTGACAGTGATGGTGACAGTGACGGTGACAATGACGCCGCCGCAGCCACTCCTCACCGTAGGCGATGAGCTCGGCCGCCTTCCACTCCCTGACCCCGCGGCAGTGGAAGAAGCACTTGAAGCTGCTCCTCCACTCGGTGACGTGGCTGAGCGTCACCTCCATCAGCGTGGCGCTCAGCGGGCGCCGGCTGTAGCGCGCCGACGTCTCCACCCCCCCCTGGTCCTGGGGGTCACCGCAGGAAGTGCTGCAGTTGATGCTGAGGGAGCCGTTGAAAGGAACCAGCAGCACGGGGGGCTCCAGCCAGACGGCGCAGGAGGAGAAACGGGGGCCTGGAATTTGGGGGGGGGGAGGGGGGGAAATGAAGAGGGTCAGGGCGTATCAGGGATATGGGGTATAAAGGATCCAGATATGGGGAGGGGGGGACACCCAGGTCTGTCCTCAAGTGGATAGAGGGGATGGAAGACCCCCACATGGGGACGTGGGCATCCCCAGATTTGTCCCCAAATGGATACAGGGGATGGAAGACCCCCATATGGGGATGTGGGGACCCCCAGATCTGTCCCCAAATGGATACAGGATACGGGTGACCCCCATATGGGGATGTGGGGACCCCCAGATCTGTCCCCAGTTGGATACAGGATATGGGGGACCCCCATATGGGGGTGAAGGGACCCCCAGATTTGTCCCCAAATGGATACAAGGGATGGAAGACCCCCATATGGGGGTGAGGGGACCCCCAGATCTGTCCCCAGTTGGATACAGGATATGGGGGACCCCCATATGGGGGTGAGGGGACCCCCAGATTTGTCCCCAAATGGATACAGGGGATGGAAGACCCCCAT